CGGCATCCCGTCCCGGGTCTCGTTCTCCTTCCTGACCGGTTCAGAGAGGCTGGGCGGGAGGCGGCCCTGTACCCTTGTCCCGGTTCCTGGAGAGCCTGGCTTCAGTCTGCCCGGCTGGAGAGTTTTCCTGCAGGTAACCAGAGCAATGAGTACAAGATCTAAGCAATATCAGGTAGAAAATGCTGAAAAAGACTGGGTTTGGCCACCTTCTTGGGTTTGGTTTAAGTACTACAGGTGGAAATGAGTGTAAACCTCCTCCTGCACATGTAACTTCAGAATCAGAACTAGAAATCTCTTTTCCTTTAAGTAGGTAAGTCCCTTTTGTTCACATCACCTAACCGAACTCGTTGAACACATCGCTGCTTGATTGTTCTTCTGGACTAACATACTGTATTGGTTCTGGCTGAGATGCAGGTTAAAAACAAAAGAAAATAAATGCGCAGGTGAGGGTGAACTGAGAGACCTCTATCAGTTTCAGTGAGGCAGGATCTGATGTACTGCTCTTCAGCAGAGATTTATCTTTTCTGCAACGTTAATGAACTCCACAACCTTCCACGACAGGAACTTCTGCTGTTTTACTATTTTTATGGTTTGCAATCCTGAGATCTTACCCAAACCACTGTTACAACACGTCAGTGTCGTCTTTTAGACGTAGAGAATGCTTGCTCCTTGTCTTTAAGGAGATTTTTTTAGTCTAAAGGCTATGATTTTTTTTTTTATTCTTCAGTTTTTCTTTATGGTGATGGATGTTATGTCTGTTATAGTTCCTTGATGATATTTTCCTCCCCACTTTTGTGCTTTTTTTAAAAACAGAGTAATCAAAAGTAGCTATGAGGTCTCACCAGTGCCAGCTAGTGTCAAATCCGTGTCTGAGCTGCAGCTCTTGTTAAACACCCAGAATAGTATTTCTCTAGTCATGCTGTTAACACATAACCCAGGCAAAGACTTAGAAATTTCCATGGAAGGTAAAAGCTCTTGGTTCCTTTCAGGAACAGTAAAACAGGAGCTACAGTGCTGGGCCTGCAAATCAAAACGCAGATTTATCTTTTCACTCAATAAAAACTTCCAGCTATCTTTTCGCTCGCCCCTAATCTACCCTGTTTGTGTCTCGCCAGCTGCAGCACCCAAGCCCTGAAGTGAGAGAGTACGCCTGTGCCAGTATTTCCAGGCTGTTGCAGCAGAAGCATGTAATCCCAACCTTTCTGCAGAGGGACGTCGTCCGGTGTTTGGGACCGTTGTTGATGGATCACAGTTTAGCTGTTCGCGAGACAGCTGCAGGCGCTCTGCGGTAAGCCGTTGCTAATGTTCAGTTAGAATGAGGTGCTCCTGGCATAGTCAACAAGAGAGGTTTTTTGATGGTAAAAGCCCTGAACGTGAATGCCAGCCCCTCTTTCTTCAGCTCCGTTTGAGTAAGTATGTGTAGGTCAGTCAGCCTCTCCGAGAGGGGGGCTTTCCTTACTCCAGTATGCTACCACGAGACTTTAATCTTGGGAGCAATTTTTAAGTTAGTTACTACCATTTTAACTACTTGCAGTGGAATGCACTGCTTTCCATCTTTGCGTTAGGAAAAAACCCCAAAACAGTAGTATGGAGGAATGAGGAGAACATGAATGCTGCTAGAGTGGCATTTTCTGTCTTGATGACACAGTAGGAGGGGTGGGCTGGTTAAAGAATGCACGTAGCTGGCTTTTTGACAGGCTTGTACATACTGAACAACATCATTTGGAGTTGGTATTCTGTGGTTAGGCCTACAGCTTGCTGTATTTGTACTGAAATGTAATGCTAATACTTGTTAACGTTCATGTTGTATCTTACACTCACTGAGGAATACCTGAGTGAAGTCATGCTCCAGTACAGATAAGCTTTCTACTTACACTAGGCAAAGGCAAGTAAGCAAGAACAACTTTTTTTTCCCTTACACCACTTACTCTTTTATGTTAGGAAGGTAGAAGACTAATGTTCCTGTTAAGCAGACTGATTTTAAAACAAAAAGTACCATAATCTTTAGAGAAGAATATTGAATACATGTTGGGTTTTTTTAAACATTCCTGGAATGTATTGTATTTGTTCCAAAGCATTTTTTTTTTTCTCCCAGAAATCTGAGTGCTTGTGGAGGATTTGAGGTCTGCGATGACATGGTGACAAAAGACATCATGACACCCCTTGTAGCACTTTTGAAAGAGGTGTGTTGATTTTTATTCTGATTTTAAAACTGATCTAGCCACTGAATTATCCTGTTTTCAGAAATAGTCCAATTCTAGTCGCTAGTATCAAGAGAAGATATTTGAAAGATCTTTTACAAGAATGTTTCAGTAGGTTTACTGGTACAAAATGTATTCCAGAGATTTCAAACCACTTGCTTCTGCCTCCTGACCTGCTAACTTGGACCCGTGGTGAGGTTTGCTGCCTTGGATGATTTTTGCATAAACAGTCTGGAGATTTTGGGTCTGGAATGTCAGCCAAGACAAGTCTGTTCTGTCAGTCAAGATCCAGATCCAACATTTATGTTGCAAGATTATTCTAGTGAGGCTTTTTTGGTAAACAGCTTTTGGTCTAAATGAAAGCTTGGGTTTACAGTTGGGTAGTTACTACTGTAAAATAATCTGTACTGAATACCTATTCTTTGTTTGGTCCAGGTGTTGCAGTGCAGTTTGGAAATTGCATTGAATTCTGTCACCTGCTGTGTTTATATGAGCAGCCTTGAGCAATACCATCATTTTCTGTATGTTTTTTCCCCATTCTAAAATACGGCTAATCGCATTGTTGTAAAGCACAGCAAGATGTTAGCTGAATTGGTCATTGTGATTAGAATGAACTGTTGAAAATTGCATACAGACTGTATTACCAAGAAACAGCATTTCAGGTTCTAAAATCGCTAAGTATTTCTTCATAAAAAGAAATGCTTCTGAAGACTCTTGAATGCAAAGCAAGTACTGTAAGAGTCTGCAAGAGAAGAAAAAATGTCAATGATTCCATTCCATTGTGGCCGTTTTCATAGGGAATAGGAAACTAGTCAAGTTTCCTGGTAATAAACACTTGATGAGAGATCTCTCCATTCACTGTGCTGTTTTTGCTTTTCTCTTGGCTTGTTGGTTTCCTAACCCTGGTTCTCTTGTTTGGTTGTAGTGTAGCACTGGACTAGATGCTAACCAGCTCTCTCCAAAAAAATGCAGAGAGATGAACAAAAACTATATTGAAGACATAGCCAATGAGGCTGTTAATTTGCTGTGGAACGTATGGTAAGTGCCGTGTAAATGTGGGCCTTTTAGAAGAGCTGCATTAAACTGGTCCTGAAAAAGAGCATGGTAATTGACTCATAGGATCATGGACTGGTTTGGGCTGGAAGGGACCTTAAAGACCATCCAGTTCCAACCCTCCTGCCATGGGCAGGGACACCTTCCACTAGACCAGGTTGCTCCAAGCCTCATCCAGCCTGGCCTTGAACACTTCCAGGGATGGGCCATCCACAACTTCTCTGGGCAACCTGTGCCAGTGCCTCACCACCAGAAAAGATTTTGAGCCAGAAAAGAAGTGAGTGTCCTTGCATGGGAAGAATTATTCAGTTGCTGATTCTGATTTCTGATTGTGTTGCTCCCATGTGTGCCTTCCTTAATAAATGGCTAGCCCTCATAGAATCATAGAATGGTTTGGGTTGGAAGGGACCTTAAAGACCATCCAGTTCCAACCCCCCTGCCATGGGCAGGGACACCTTCCACTAGACCAGGTTGCTCCAAGCCTCATCCAGCCTGGCCTTGGACACTTCCAGGGATGGGGCATCCACAGCTTCTCTGGGCAACCTGTTCCAGTGCCTCACCACCCTCTCTGAAGAATTTCTTCTCATCTGAAATATGAGTTTATCTTCTACCATTACTTTTGTAAGTGAAGGACTCTAAAAGTGCACAAATCTAGTCATTGGTTTTAGGAGAGTGACAAAATTTTTTTCCTATTGGTCGTGCATCGTAAGTTCTGACAATGTTTTCTGAACTTGTTCTGTCAGTCTCCTGTATGGTTTGGGTTGTGGGGTCTTGCATGCAGTTCCCATAGGCCATGCTATGGGAGATGGAGAAAATTAAATTCTCATCAGTGGACTCCAGTGCTCTGGGAATACGAGGAGTTTTTGTGCTACTTCCTCCCCCTGCAGGTCACCCCGAAAGTTGGTATTAAATGTTTGGCCAAACTATCCCTTGGTGCCTGAGGCACTGATACAAACCTGCTTACCTACGTGAGGCAGAATGCACATTGTTCAGTTAGTAGTTTACACTGGAAACACCAGGTGAAGGAAGAGGAATGGCAACAGTATTAGTTCAGAAATGGCTATAAACATCAAAGTGATACAGACCTGTCTGAAAGTTCTCCTTAAATTTGTGTTAATTCTCTTAGTTTAGTAACAGCTCCACATCATTACACAGCTTGGTCCATACAGTGTTTCTCATACTGTACAGTATTTCCATGGAGCTGCCTGTGCGTCTGTCTGTATGGTATGGCTGCTGGCTTGAGGATTATTTGTAAACATCATTTTTTTTAGGGGTTGGAATCTAGAACAGTACAGAAACTGCTTGCTCAGCACCTTACACAGAATACGTGACCCTTTGTAACTCTGACTCAGCAATTTTGTGTTCAGTTTTTTTACTGCTTTTGTAGACCTAAGTGCTTTGGAACAGGAATAATTATTAAGTGTGCTATAAATCACCTCTGCATTTTGAACTTTGTGGCAATGACTGTGAACTGCTGACTTTCTTGCTGTTTGGTACTGGCATTGGTGCTGAGACAGTATTTTCAGAAGTACATTTTTGAAGACCCGTGTAGCTAGCTATGCCCCATGCTTTTTTAGTTTGAATTTGTCTTCTTTCAATATATTAGTTTAAAAATGGGAGTAGCTGTGAAAACCTGAAGAAACACAAATTCCACTGTTAGATAATTCAAGTAAATGTCACGTTTTGCATTGATATAGCCTGCATTTCTGAATGTTAGGAGCGGGTGTTTTCTGGAGTGACTATTTTGATCTGAGAGGCAACAGCCTGCTCTGTTGTGAGGGTGTTTGTGGATGAAGTCTTCCATGGCTGCAGAAAGCCCTGGACTGGTTTGTAGCCCATGGCTATAAGCTGCTTTTCATGCTCTGGCTGGCTCTGTCTGCATGAGACTGTACTTAGGCTCCCAGATAAACTCCTGGATACCGTGCATGAGGAAGCAGCTGGCAGAAGCCAGCTTTCCTCAGTGGTGTCCAGGCTATTGCAGCCTCTTCCTCCGTTTTGTGCAGAGTTGGCCATAGCCTCTGTAACGAATGATAGCTCTTTGAGTAATGTGTAATTCCTAGGTAGGTTTCTAAAATGTGAGTATGTGTTACTTAAAATGTTTTTCCAGTATGTTTTTCCTGGGAAAAGTGGTTTATTAATCTTTTTTATGCGTCAGTGAATGCAACAATACTGCGGTGCACATATTCAATAAAGAGGGATGTCTGGAGCCTGTGTTACATTACATGAAGAAATTTTCCACGAATGTGGATCTGGCTATTTCAGTAGGTGAGTGGTAAAATGGGAAGATAAAGATGTAAAGATTCTGGTTTTTCCCTCTTTCTTATATGAATGTAACGCTGATGTCACATCGTTGCATAATGCTCCTGCCCTAGTGTTCCTTAAACTTTACACTGAATGTAAGACTTTGAATTCCCTTTTGAAGAGCACATTGTTCCAAAGCCTGTTTGGAACATCTGTTGTGCTTGGTTTCACTTCGGAGAATGGCTTGTTGCCGGTTACATGGGAGGAAGGGTTTTGTGGAAAGCAAGCTCTAGATGGAGGCTGTGTTTTTCACTTTGTTTTCTAGGTTTGCTAACGGAGGGTTTAATTTGTAGAGCAAAGGACATAGTCTGTCTAACACCTCCCCAACACCTCCTATCACTTTCACTGTGTTTTTATTAGTAGTATTGTTATAGTCTTACAGATATATGTACTAGCAATAGGTTTTGGTGTTTTCCCGAGTCAGTATACAAGGGAGAAATGGAATTTTGGGTAGCTGAAATGCATGTGGCTGGTCCCATGTCTGATGTGCTGTCCTCACTGGTTTATACACAGGTTTGCCAGCGAAAGTCTTTTAATCTAAAGCACAGTTTGTGAAGGACAGTGTCATACCATTACAACATGGTGCTGCACAAAATGTTTTTTCCTGTGTCTGTGTTTCATTACTCCAGCTTTCAGGAAGATAATGTTTTCTCACTAGGAGAGTGAAAGCTACTGTTGGGTTTGTTAATTATCTTTGTTGTTATTGTTTGCTGCAGCAAACTGCCTGCAGGCAGTGACAGAAGATAATCCAGATCTTCTTTCTTCATTCAATGCTTCTGCACAACAAGTGTTGGAAACCGTGATGTTGTGTCCAGAGAGCACAATGAAGCATATCCTTCTGAGAACACTGATAGCAGGTATGATGCTCGAGGGCATTTGCTGCTTTGTGACGGAGAGCGTGGCAGGTAGAGGAGGGTGGGAAGGACAGAAGGCTTAGTCGTCTTTGCTGTAATCTGGATATTTGATCATCAAAACCTGTATAGATGGTTCATGAGGTTATTTGTGCTTCTTGGGATTTGTTTTGGAGTGACCAAATATTTGCAGTTAGTTTTAAAACTGTCTTAACTGCTTGCTTCTGAATTCAGTACCTGGTCAGTGTGATAACCCATTTTAAGTAAGTCAATAATAAGTAGTACCAGGTTTGTTTTGGTCTTAATAGGCATCGGTTTTTACCTGGGATTTTCTACCTTGCAATCTTTTTTCCACCTCAAATGCTTAACCATAGTGATTTTTTTTTTTTTTTTAAATACTGGAGTGTAATAAGTTAGTTTAATTTTGAGAATCCTTAGAAAATGGTGTTCTCCTGTGGATTTGTTATAGCAGGTAAAAAGTGTCACCAAGATCACTCCACATAAATATTCTGAGTAGCCTTATATGCTGGAATTCACTTAAGCTTAAGATTTGGGCATAACATAGTTGCAGAACCATAGAATGGTTTGGGTTGGAAGGGACCTTAAAGACCACCCAGTTCCAACCCCCCTGCCATGGGCAGGGACACCTTCCACTAGACCAGGTTGCTCCAAGCCTCATCCAGCCTGGCCTTGAACACTTCCAGGGATGGGGCATCCACAGCTTCTCTGGGCAACCTGTTCACCCTCTCTGTGAAGAACTTACTTATTACAGATTAGTATATGAAATGCTGAACAGAAAAAAATGCAAGTCTGTAGAGCAAAGGCTTGAAGATTCATACTGGGATATAAGAACTGAGTATTTTTAACTAGTGGAGGTTGTGTCCTTACAAAATATGTGGCTATTACAGGGCTGGGAATGGAGTATTTTAACAGATTACTGTATTTCAACTACCTCGTGTTTAGGCACTATCTGGAATATCAAGGATACCATTCCAGCAGACAGCCTGGGAAGCATGGTAAACGCAATCCTGAAGATTTTTTCCGAATCATTAGCAATAGATGCTGGTGAAACAATCATTCGAATGAGTGAAGCTGAAAAAAACAGGTTAAAACTTGCTGCGGAGGCAGAAACTGAGGAAAACATGACTGATGTTATGGACAACTGTGGTATGAGTGAAGATGATATGGAAGAGGTACCAAAAGGAAAAGTCAGAAGAGAAAATGACATTTCAGACCTACTTCCAGTAAGTGTGGCTGCCTGGCTCTCGGGGAGTTGAGTGCGTTTGGCTGAGCACCCGACTGGTCTTGACTGAGCGTTAGGCAGTGTAGCTACCTACTGGTGTTACTAATCCAAACTCCCAAAAGGCTTGACTAGTGTAGCTAAAACTTCAAAGCTGCGCATGGAGAATTTCAGCTCGGCTCGTTCACCTGTGGGCAGGTTGCACGGCACATTAAGAAAGTGCGTTTCCATGTTTTTTCCTGTAGCGGAAGGTCTAGGCTGATGTGACACTTCTCCCTGTAGCCAGCGCAGGACGTTCTGATCGCTGCGTAAGGCGAGTGAGCCTTTCGGTGCTCGTGATTCGGTCGTGAGTGGAGGTGACACAGGTTAACGAACGAATCACTATTGCTACATGAGGCAAGTAACAGAAGTAAATGTGTCTGCTGGGGCTTGAGCTAACATCAGGTAATCTAGTCTGTTACAACTTCAGCGCGGGTGGCGTTTCGTAAAGGTAGAACGTGTTCTGAAGCATCCCGTGGAAAGATGACAGGTTTGGTTTGCCTCTTGGTTTTGTTTGACTTTTGTTTTGGGATTTTTTTTTTTTATGGGGAGGGATAAGAAGAGGAAATGGCTGGATTGTATTTTTAACTGAGCGCCTGGGTACTTCCAGTGGCGCTGAAATGGTGTTTTACAAAATCACGTGATTAATATTTTTCTTTTTTAGTCTGATAAGTGGGAACTGAAAGAAGTGACAGCTTTACTGATGGCTCAGCAGACTGCTCTGGAAATCATCGTTAATATGTGCTGCAGTGAAGGTTTGTAGGGATCTCTTGTTGCAAGTGTTACGGTGCATTTTGTTTCTGGAATAGGTGGCGTTCGATTTGCTGTTTGGTGATCGTCGCTTTTAAGGGTGAATGCATGTAGACTTCTTATTCCCGATACCCTCATCTGGAGGGCAGCTTGGATTGTAATTTCTATTACTGATTTAAGTGGGTTTTTTCCCCTCATTATGTGTATTTTTTGCACGATACTACATGCGTCAACATTTAAGAACAAACAAAAAAGCACTTGGGCCAAACAGGTATTTCCTGAAAAGTATTGCAGCCAATTCTTTGTTCAGTTATTTCATGGTCTGGCTGTTTACCTGATCCAGTATGGGTGTGCATCCTATCGCAGGACTGCGGCATCGCATCTTTAAAGCAGAGAAATCTTGTGGATTGGATTTAGTTTCGATACTACATGATTGCAAAAGGAGGAAAGACAGCTGTTGCATGCAAATCTGGCAGCAATGCAGAATTAGGGTGCTCAGAGTTCTACCTTTATGAGCTGTTTTTGAGGAGATGGAAGGCTGTTACTCGTGGAGGGAGGGAGTAGCAAATAGATATTCTGTGCCAGTTTTGATAGCTTTTCTCTGAATCTTCAGGAAAACAAATTCTCAAATTCTGTTTGAAACAAATGCATCAAAACCTCAAAAAAACTCTCCAAAACCTGAAGATTGTGATCACTAGTAGAGTTTGTGAGCCTGATGCAAAAGTAATTGTGTAGGAGATAACTAAATCTTTCAGGTTCTAATAAAATCCACAGTAATACTCAAACATTCCCAATGGTGATTTTTTTTTTCTCTTACAGCACAAGGAAATTCTGCACCTAGTATATGAAGCTCCTTTCATAACTGCATTTTTCATCTAATGAGCTGTAATTCATAAGCACTCCCCTTTAATTGGAAAATCTCTTGTGGATAAGCTGCATATTCTGCCATTCACTCAGTGTAATGTAAGGTTGATTGTGTTGTATTTCACTACAGTACTTTACCCATTCATGGGCAGACAGAAACACAGTCTGTAGAAATTAAAAGGAATCCAGAGGCAGCTGTTCATTTAATTTCCAAGTTATTTGAGGACTAAAATAGCTTTAGCCATTATGCTGAGTTCATAGAAACACTCAGCTTGCTACAGAACTGAGGGAAATAACCAGGCTGGCAAGAGACGTGATTTGCTGAACTCCGGCCGGCGTTTGGATGAAGCAGAGTGCTCTCCCCGTAATGGGGGTGTGGGAAGGAGGCCAGGAGACTCCAGCCTTGCTGTCCAGGCTGTAGTTTGTAGGTTACCAGCGCTAGTTAAGATGGGACTGCCACTGGAAATGCTTCTGTATTTCCAAGAATGGTACCAGGAACCTGATCTCAGTTACGGGCTGGCGTGTAGAGCGTAGTTCCTGCTCTGCCCTTGTCGCTCCCTCTGAACATGCGATGGCTGTTGTCTTTGCTGCTGCTGAAGTGCACGTCAGCTCACACAGTCCCCTGGTTTTTAAATGAGACTTTTGCTTTGCTTTGTAAAGATGCAGATGGGTTTTACTTTTTAGAAGAGGCAAGAGTCTGAAAGGGAGATGTCTGCTTTGTGCTCATGCTTGTTGCTACTGTGGGTTAGCAAAGCATAAGACAGCCGTTTTCTCATGCAAAGACTTAACACCAGCATACTATGGCTGCAGGATTAATTGGATATTTCTGTAAGCAAAAGATGTCCATGTGATCAGGTTGCCGCTGCCTGAGGAGTTACTTTGCGACATTATCTGACAGTAGTCATCACCTTCAAAGAAGTTCTTAAGCTGCTGCACAGTGCAATTGAAGTGCCTTCATTTAGACCTTTCTTGCTGTATTTTACGTGTGTGAATTTACCTTCTGCCACAGGAAAAAGTGCATGGCTGATGCTGTAGTTACTACAGTCCCTGGGTCTCACGTGAATCTGTGTTGTCAGACAGAATTACGTGAGGGTGAATAGGGTACCTTTTCGTCACCGTAGTGAAATGTCCTGACCCGTGTACACAGGAAGAGCTTTCACCTGTCAGCGAGGAGGATCAGTCCAACCTGCAGACTTAGGACTTGCGTAAACACTAGTGTCACACCAGTTAAAATGTAACCAGGTTTAAAACAACTGTAGATAAATCAGTGTAAACCCTGTGGATGTAGATCTATCAGTTTAAATATAAATGGTGGACTTGGACTCGGCCTGACAAGCACAAGCTACCTTAAGCCATAGACGAATTACTCACTTCCCCGTAGCTCTGCCCGTTGGTAACACTACCTCAACCCCCCTTACTGTGTCTGCCCTTACAGATCTGCTAGTATACGGAGTAAATCGTGTAGGTATAAACATAGGTCAGGTTTATAAATATAAACCTGGTTTAATTACTTAAAATATGTTTCCTGAAATGGCTAACAGAGGCTTGCTTTGGCTTGTTTTGCTGCTGTTCATTCCTTTCAGCTCCCTTTGCTGTGGAGACAGTAACGTCTTCATCCAGCCCACTCGCTGCCCAGTTAGAGGATTTCTGTCTGTGGCTTCAGTATTGCCAGAGAAAACAGTTGTCTGAAGCTGATTGCAGTTAGTAAACAAGTTAACGTGGTGTGTTTGCATGCTTCAGTCTACCTCAAAAAGTAAAATGGTACAATACGAGTTAAAATCCTAGTAAATGCTTTTTGAAATGTTTCCTCTATACCTTTTTGATATCTTTAAGTGAAGCATAGCTGATACCAGAGAATGAAGTACCCACGTATGAAAAACCTCTCTTGTAACAAGCCTCATTGCCTAAATGAATATAAATGAATTTAAAAAAAAAAAATCAATAGTAGTGCAATATTTAGAACTACGACTTAATGGTGCTTGGTTTGTGTGGATGTCATTATTGCCCAAGAGCTCCTAAACCAAAAGCTGAAGCCAAGTATAGGTGAGAAGCAGTGTATCTGTTGTGTGAGTGTTGTTAGGTTTACGGGTCTGTCTTATGTTCCCAGATCCCTCTGATGATGAATGGGAAGAACTCTCCAGCAGTGATGAAAGCGACTTGTTTATGGAAAACTCATACAATGAGGGGAGTGGGCTGCTAATGTCGCCCCTCTGTCTCTCTGCTGAGGTTAACTCAGCGTTTCTGAACAACCTCATTCCAAAGAAGGTATTGTCTTTTATTTCCAGCACATGGTACAGTCTTTCCCTTGTGCCTGATTTGTATACCAGGTTAGGTAAACAAATTATCCCAATCCATCTGGAGGAAAGGAATATTTTTATAAATCAGTTTATTTTTGGCCTAGAGATGGAGCATCTTCATGTGAGCTGTCTTGACCTACATAATTTCTTCATGCAGGTGTTTGAGAAATCTGGTGTTTGTTTCTTTGGTGGGGTATTTTTGTTTGTTTTTTAATTTGGCTTTTCCAAAACACAAAGGTTAGCATCTCTTGATTTAGACATGAAGAACATTACCTGCAAAACTAAAGGGAACTTTGAGTAGAAGCATGACAGCCACATTCTGATAGTAGCTAAGGGAGGTGGAAGTAATGCCTGCAAATGGCAACAGTCAGCACTGAAAAAGCTCAAGTTCCTCTTCTCCCTGTTTTGTACGTAGTGTTTGAAGTACAGTATTTGACACTGACAAGAATTCAGATTTTCTTGTTTCAGAGTTGTTTTACTCATTCTTATCTGGGACTGTAAAGATGAGGTTGGTCGTTTGAATCAGTTATTATGCTAATTCAGCAGCACTGTAGAATTCTGACACAGGACATCAAGGGACAAGATGCAGTCGGGCCTTACTGTACTCAGTAGCAGGCAGTCTAAGTTTCATGGCAGGGGCGTTTAGACTTGCTGCTAGCTGAAAATTCTGTACCAGAATCAGTAGGAAGAAAGATCTAAATAAAAAAAAAATAGCAGAGACCTAGAAAATCACCTTTTGTTCAGTACAGTTGAATACTTAAAAGGTGCTGTGCTAAACCCAGTGTGTAATTGTATCATTTGAGGGATTGAGGCAGATTCTGGCCTTTTTTGTCAGGTGAGACACTTGCTCTCTGGAAACCTTTGAAATACGTAGTTTGAACATTAAGCTAAAATTCTAGTGTTGTGTGTCCCCTCCCCCAAATACACCTGGAAAAAAAAGAAAGAAAAAAGCTTTACTGTTAAACCTTTCTTTTTCCCCTCCTCAGATTCTTGAAAAAACTGCTTTTCCGAACAGTGTTGCTCTAGACATCTGTATGCACAATCCGTCTTGGAAACCATTAATTAAAAAGTAGGAATTTCATTGTCTCTCTTACTATTTTTCATGTATATTCAGTCGGTTTAGAACTCTTAGAAGGATTGTCCATCTTTGAGTTACTTTTAAGATCTGGACAGTGGCATATCTGATACGTGATTGTGAATAAAGAGATAGAAGTGTTTTTGTAAACTGCCCACCATATCACAGCCTTATTTAATTCAGGATTCTCCTTTGTATTTCAACATCTGTTTTCAGACGATCTACTAAGTGCCATTTTCGTTGGTTTGTTTCAGACTGAATGCGGTGCAGTGCAGAGCTTTAACGTGCCTTCATAGCATCTTGTTAGTGTCAGACGTGGATTGTCTTGGAGGAGCTTCAGCACTTCAGTCCCTTGCACAGCATCTCTCGCAGCTAGTCTTTTCTAAAACGGGTAAGAAGTTTAGGAATGGGGGCTTGCTGGCCGACTCCCTATAGATACAAGGTAACCACGTACACTGTTAATTTTAATGCCATTTTATTACTAATTTTATCCCTTTGGCCTTTCAGAATAAGGCTACTGAATGTCAGAAATGTGCTGACCAAACCGTGTATCCTGATAAGATGTATTTATCTGAACTAAAAGCTTGAGCAAGTCTGCTCCGAATGCAAGAATATGCTTTATGTCTCTATGTGCATGCACAAAGTCACTAAGTTAGTGGGTGAATCCTGCCTGCTGTGAGACCAGAACTGTTTGCTTGATCATGTTTGTGATAATAGCAATTTTTCATCAATCAGACAAGCCGTGAAGAAGATGCGATGCTTTCTTTTTAAATGTGCTGCTAACTAGCCTAAATAGACCTGTGGAAAAAAGGGTATCTAGCGGCGTTTTTCACTTTAATTTTTTTTCTAGGAGTCTTTATGAAATTATGGCAAAGGTGGTTGTTGCAAAAATCTCCAGAATGTACACGCTTACTACAGTAGGAAAAAGAGCAGCCCTCTTGTCTCCAGGACGCGTTTTATGCATGTGATTGCACAGCTTTATTGAAAACACGTTTGTAATAAGACAATGTGCAAAGTTTTTATGGCTAGTTATTAAAGCTGCTTCACTTCCTGTTATGGTGGTGGTTCCGTTTCAATGGAGAAGGCAATAAATTTCATCCTGGTAAACACTAGAATGTGTCCACTGTAGTTCCAGGACATTATTTCATAGAGTTACTGTGACGGTTTCCCCAAGTATTTGTTACTATCAGTATTACTAGATAGTCTAGTGTAGATAGGCAGCAGTTAGCTTTTCCAGCTAGCTCCCGTGATCTTACATATCAGATCGGCATCGTTCCAGTGGTACTGTTGGACCATTTACGCTGTGATCTCTAGTGTCAGTAACTGAAGCTGAACTGAAATTAAAAAAAAAAGGCAAAACACCCCAATGTGGTTCCAAGCTGATGATCTGTTTCCCTGATGAGCTGCTTCTTTCAGACTATTGTGATAATCTGTTTTTGTTTTAAGGTCAGTGATGATGGCTTTTCAAAAAGTGAGAGATATTCTTAGAGGCTGGAAAAGCCTGCCAATTCTCAAAATTGTCAGAAGACATTTTTCCTACGACAAATCTGCTGAAGTCTAGCATATGCATGGCTTTGTCATTTCTTGTCTCTTAGAAGCTTGAGAAACTCAGTTTTCTTCCCTTCCTTCAGTCGACTTCGTTTGCAGCCACGGCGGCGGTGTACGTGGTTCTCGTGTGCAGTAGTGTGTAGTGTGACGCTGCGTTGATGTCTGCAAATGCAGCTGCCTGCAGAACACCCTTTTTTCTCAGTGTCATGAAAAGCACGTGATCGGTCTGTGGGAACGTTACTGAGAGTGTAGCGCTTGCTGAAACGCAGGACATGAAGATAAATAGGAAGACATGTACAAGGAATTTCATACAAAATGTTTCTCATGCTGGAAGAGCAGGACTTGCAAGATTTCAGTCTACGTGTTAGGCTTCACAGTAGTCAGGTCTGAAATGAAACTAGAGAAGCAGCTAGCTGAAGACAGTGTGTGCTAATAAGTTCGTTTAATGTTCCAGGTCCATTTTCGTTAACATAATATTTTTAATAGTTAAATACCATGTAATGAAAACTGCCAGATAGAGTTGATAAGATACCAGCATGTGGTTAGAAGGAATTCTGTGGTTTACAGGGTGGAAAAGCGGCATAAAGATCTAGTTGCATACATGGGAAAGGAGGAGATAAGCATGAAATAATCAAGAGGTGCTTCTTCTGGAGTGGTTCAGAAAGTAAGAACACACAAGAGGAAAAGAAAAAGCTTCAAGAAATGCAGAACATGCATTGGAGATGATGGCTGCTATTGATGAATTTGTAGTTAAACAAGAATAATGCAGTTTGAGTCATTTCTGAAAGGTTATTAAACCACTGAAAAGCATGCTCTTTACGAATTGGAAAGAGTCCAGTGTTCTTGGTGTCTAAAAAAAATGCTTAGAAGACAGAAAAAGGGAGTTAAAGTACACAATCAGCTTCTGTACTTTTATGGGTTCTGTGTTACGGTCTCGATGTGACACCAGTCTTCAGGCTTCTCTTCTGACGGTGGTTTGTACCATATGTTAGGGCACACAAGAGCCTTAGCAGGGTTGTGCTTGAAAACGAGGACCAACTGTGGTCTAACCTCCAGATGCAATTAGTGCTGAATTCAAACAAATCACTATGGTTACAGCTTACAAAGACCAGTCTCTGGAAATCTAGCTCTTCCTGTTTGTGGTAGTACCTGGAGGAACAACTGAGGGATTAAGGAGTTGGTATTTTTTTTTTGCTTCTCATATCCTTCATCTTCCTGTTTAACTTTTGGCTCTGGGTTCAATTCTTTGACAGAACTCCCTACAGACACAGAATTCCTGGAAGCCATAACCAGCGCTTTGAGGGCTCTCCTACAAACAATGGCATCAAAGAACATCTCCCAGGTAAAAGCTTTCAAACTCAGATGCGCTGATAGGTTCAAACTCATGTGAGGTTGTGCTGGAAAGTTTTTGAAACAAAACCATTTAAATGAAGTGCTGAATTTCAGCAGCTGCGAACACTGAGAGAACGGGTCTAATAGCATTCACTCTCTGTGTTTTTCATGGACCTTACAGGACTAATCTTTTATATATCTCTTCCTTAATATGTAAACAGATGAAAGGTATTTCAAAACCAAAATAGCCATAAGACACAGGTCGTTATTTTTAGGAGGTGGATGTAATGACAAGCATTTAGTAAACTGGCACCTAGAAATGTGAATTCTTTTTTGTGATGTCATCAAGTTGTCCTTCTAGAATCTGGATTGGACATGAATTAGTGAGCTGAATACAGAAATGAAGTATAATAGATTGTTATACTTTAAACTGAAAAATGAGCTTTTATTTTCTAAGTCATAATGAAGAACAGACTAGCTATTGAGCTAGGTAAATTTGTGAAAATCCCTTTTGGCTCCAAACTTTTTCCTTCAGGTTCATGACAGCCTTGGTTATGTTCTGGAAGAAACACCTTAAGAAGTTGAAAGGGAGACTTTAACATGCTGACTACATTTTCATAATTCATATAGTCTTCATAATACAGGGCACTTCGTTTTAAATTTGCCTGTATTTTGTAAAAGCAAATGATCTAGATGTCATCTTTGAAAATTTCCATGAAAATGTAAGTATGTCTACCTTCTTTTTTTCCCCTTGCCAAACAGTGTATGACTCCTGAGCAGCTCTTGGCTTTATGTGAAGCTGGTATTCACAGCAGCAATGCCAGTGTTAGAGTGAACGTAGTGGGCATCCTCGGAATTTCTGGCAGTGTCCTGGCGAAAGGACAAGATACAGCTGAGACGCTGAAGGTGAGAAGGCAAACTGCATTGCAAGCCTAAACCAGTTTTGATACATCTTTCCATTTTCTTAAGCATTGCTGGAAAAATCAATTTTTTTCTCTTATTTCAGATGATTGGAAAATTTCTTCTTGAGGTTGCTATGAAGGAATCTTCCCTTGTGGTAGCAGGGGAAGCCTTGGATGCACTTTTTGATGTGTTTGCAGATGGTAAAGAAGCAGAAAAGGCAGCAGTACAGATCAAGTTGCTTCCAGCACTGAAAGAATTTCAGCCAGTGTTCAAAATGAGGGTAGGCATCAAACGCAGCCAGTTCAGGGTCTCGACACACACTATGGGTAAAGCTTTGAGATTGGGGCTGCTAAGAGAGATAATTAAGCAGTAATGTATGGCTTTATAAGAGGACAACAAATGACTGAATTCCGGATACTCTGCTTTAGGGGAAAGCAAATAGACTTAGCTGGCAGTTCATGGAACTGCCAGGGTGACAGCGCAGCATCTGCATTGCAACATCCGCATTACACCATTGGCGTTACTGATGTCCAAATCCCTGTATTGTTCCGAAGCCCTTGTAAAAACAAAATCCTGCAGGTGTCTCTGGAGGAGAACAGCTGAATTGGTGGGTGAAAAGTCCCTTCTGAAGTCACATTCACATCTTTTGTTTTTAACTTGCTGTAGTTGCAGGGGGATATTTTTGTTCTGTTGTTGGTTCATTACAACAGATTGTGTGTTCTGTATTTTCAAGAATCACGACGCCAAAGTTCTAAACTGTATTTTTAAGTACCTCCTTGTCTTAAATAGAGAATGACCTTCAGTATATTGTTTCTTTAGTCAGACGAAGCCCGAGGAGTGGCTTTCGTAGTCGAGAAGCTAAGCACCATACACACAAAATACCTACCTGACAGTGCTGCAGTTGTTGGGTTAGTTAGATGTGCAAGGTCTCTCATATAAAAAGCTACAGAAAATAACTCCACCTTTCAGACTTACGAGTGAAATAGTGTGCCAGTAGTAGCCTAGTTTTAGGCAGAGATGTATCGTAGTAAATCGACTTGCAGACATAATTGCTAGCTACGCATGTGAAGACGTGAACGTGTCAGAGTTCTCAAAAGGTAGCATGCCTCGATAGAAGACCTATGTACAATTGCTACAAGCTTTAGGTGTTCTCATAGGAGAAGCTTCTCCGTTAGTAAAGTATGTATTTTTTGGTTTTACAGATGCGAAAAGAAGGCAAAGGACAATATAGTACAGATCAGCTGTGTGTTCTTGACAATGTGAAGATGAATTTGAGAAGATTCATTGCGTATCAGGAGACACTAGGGAAAACCCCAACTTGAAACATCGAGGAACTTTAAGGTTTCCCTTATTGAGTAATGTTTTCCAAAAATATAACCATTTTGAACTTTTAAAATGTATTGTCCAGAGCAGTTTTGCTTTCCTGTTAATACTGCATTCTTTTACATTCAGTATGTTCATACCTCTGGGTTGATGCAATATGAAAGTCACATCCGTGTCAGAAAGCATGGCATACTAAAGTGTTAGCAGTGATAAGAATGTGCTGTTACAGCCCCGAGATCTGTACATAACAACACTGTCATTGTGTAGAAATCCTGACGTATCCTGGCGGAAACCTATAATTGCATGAAAAAGTAATTTAGAGGGTATGTGCCAGATCAAGAAAGAATGTAAAAGCTCAAGATACCTTTCAGGAAATCGAGCAGTGGCAGAATGTTTGTATTTGCTATTTGCTCTTACCTGCTTCAAGAATTGCACAGGCACTTAAGGCAAGCTTCCCAAGAGAAGTGTGTGACAAGTGTGTGGATTGCTGTCAGCACTTGGATCTGTTACTTCATGAGGCTTATCAGAAACGGTTTTGGATTAGTTTAGGATAATTCAGTATGATAGCTTTTTGCTGTGGAAAACGGTGTAAAGGGATCCCTACGCTTTACGCAGCTCCCTGTTTTTACTTTGTTTTGATTGGTATTTCTGAAAAGCAAGTGTCCTGATTTATTTTATTCCTTGTAGTTCTACATCAGGATGAATTTGGATTCAGGGAAGTAGTAAATTTAAGAAGTATTTTTTTTATACTGAGGTATTATCTAAAGTAATTTTATAATAGCTTAAAATAGCTTTCTTCAAGTATTTGTAATAGAGATTTTTAAGCTGTAAAATACAGAAACTATTTTAAAAAAAATGTCACTGATTTCGTGAAGATTGTATGTGAACTTCATACATCAAAAGCTTTGGTTTTGTTTCTGTGCATGAGATCCTCTCATACACATTTTCTAAGGGAAAAAACCACACAGTCAAACACAAAAGCATTTTGTTTTGCTGATTTTTGAAATGGGACTTTTTTTCCCCACTCTCAGCATGCTGCTGTTTTTAGCAAAATTTTGCCCATGGTGTTAGCATGGAACTAGGAAGACCAAATTTGCTGGGTTTGTTAGATTTCAGGCTCGTAGGTTGGAAAGCAGGCCCAGGAGCTGACCGGGTAATTTGCAGACGACTGACTATGAAATCCTGACATATGGTATTTTGTCAAATGCAAAAGAAAGTGAAAAGTGGGTTTAAGCAGCTATACTGCCTGCAAGTCTTGTTACTGCTCTTGCTCTCCAGGGGCTGGAAGACACGTGTGATGCGATGCCTGCTATTGAATGAGTGAGTGAGAGCGCGGGATCCGGAGGGCTGAAGGGCCATTGAGCCCGGCCTGGAGAGGTCCTGAGGAGTGGTTGAAAGGTTATCCTGGGATTTGGCAGGGGCAGGCAGTGAAGGGGGTTGGAGTGTGACAGCTGAGGAAACTGTAGCTAGGTGGATTATGGTGTAAAACTGCACACTACCTGGATTTTAATCCCAGTGTTCGTTATACTTGCTGTACTTTGAGGGTAGTATACTATTAGCCTGATAAAAGGCATTAATATTTGTTTGGAGCACGTAAAATGACTTTCATGTAGAATGCTCTGCTCTCATTTTGTGGGTGCTGCATTGACCTGCAGGATGATACAGGTTGGAAGGGTATATTCTGATTGGGTATGAGCAAGAAATTCCTCATGGAGAGGGTGGGGAGGCACTGGAACAGGTTGCCCAGAGAAGCTGTGGATGCCCCATCCCGGGAAGTGTTCAAGGCCAGGCTGGATGAGGCTTGGAGCAACCTGGTCTAGTGGAAGGTGTCCCTGCCCATGGCAGGGGGGTTGGAACTGGGTGGTCTTTAAGATCCCTTCCATCCCAAACCATTCTGTGATTCTATGATTCATCACTAAAATTAATGACCCTCGTACATGGGATTTCCTAACATCCCATGTTGCAAGATCTTTGGAAAAGTCCACTGCCTTTAGTGGTGTCCCACAGCAAAATGGAACCCTCCTCTTCCTTTGGGGTTTCTAAGATATTATAGTTATCTAATCATAATTAGCCAAACGTTTATTTTGATGTCCGTACTTTTGTATTTCTGTGAATGAGAAAATCTTACTCTGTCACCTGCCTAGCTGCCAGTTCAGCGTAACCTGCTCTTGGTGTCTAACGGAGGGGTTCTGATGGAATGAGAGGTAATAGTTTTGTACGTTAATTTAGAGAGCACGTTCTGCTTGTAAGGGACAAGATACAAGATAATAGGAGAAGCATGGAATATTTTTGAAGATTTTGCCTGTGGAAGACAAGGCGAGTTATCAGTGATTTAAAGAAGTGTCAGATCGGGGCCTAAAACCAGACGAGATTTATAACTGCAGAAGGTGTAAGCTGTAAGATTGAGGGTATGAAAGTCGTTCTGACACAGTTAAAGAAAATGAAGGCAGCAGCAGAAGTGATGATGTGGTGCAAATTACATGTTTTTGGGCGCTCTTTTGGCAGTGGTTTATTTAAACAGGTATAGGATATGCTTGAGACGAAGACAAAATCCTTGACAGCCTACAAAGGCGAAGCCAGATCTTGAAGATACGTTGAGGGTGGCAGAAATCGGACTGCTCTAGACAGTGTGCAGCATAAGTAATAGATGCTAAATAGATGTAAGTGATCTTCATCAGCTCGTGTAGTCGCACAGATAAGACTGGTATCAAAACAGGTATCTGAAACGGAATTTGTCTGCTTATCCTGGTCCCTAAGGCATCACCTGTCCATGCGTCAGTTAGAACCTGCAGTCCTTTGAAAGTACAGATTGCTGCTCTATCTGTCTCCCCATCTGACACCTGGCACACAACAGAATCTGACTTGAAATTTTATACCAAGGGAGGTGCTGAATTTAAGTTGGTCTGTGGTGTTGAGTGTAGAGAGAGGGCTGTGTGCTCCCGCCCTGCTCAGGCGCAGTGGGACCGGTGGCAGTTGCTGCTGCTTTGGCCTCTGCAGCCTGCAAGATGCTGAATCCCCAACGGTGTGGATAAGGCATTATCGCTGCGATGTGGTTTATGTTTGCCTTCTGCGGAAAGAAACAAGTGGCCAGACTTACGTGTTTGTTGTGAAGTACTTTTTATGCATCGTGCCGTGACATTCAGAAGATGGCTGTGTACCACACTGTAGCCAACAGTTCAACTATTTGGGGGTTGTGGTGTGAGTTTAAGGTATTTTTTATGTAGTGTGGGGTTTTTTTTAAGATTGTCATCTTAGTAGAAGAATGGCTTTAACCAGTACTACTTGGCTTGGTTTTACATTTGCATTTTGAGAGAAAATATTAAAAAAAATCAGAGCACAGTAAATTACAAAATGAGAACTGTGTCAGAGAACAATTTAAAACCCATTTGTAGTTTAAAAATTATAAATTAAATGCACATCTTGTGGAATATTAACATAAAGCAACAAACCAAAATGTGCATCAACTCAAGTTGTGTTTCCTTAGTAAGTAAAAGCATTCCCAGAGGATGGGATAGAAACATCTAGGCTTACATTTACTGTTGCAAATTCAAATTCAGACAGTGGTGGTGGTAATTGAAAATACTATTGAAAATCATTCCTTTCTGGCACAGATGAATTGAGCAAACAATCTGAACATAGTTTGCGCTGGGCATGCTGTTAACATCTGTAACGTTCAGGTAATTGTCAAAACCTGAGAACTCTTGACAGTCACAGATGAAGTAATTTGGAAGTTTTTCCACAAAGGCTGAAACATGGGGAGCCTTTCTTTTTGAAGAAGATTTTACTTGAGTGGTGGGGTTTTTTTTTGTCTAATTTCCAAATTCAAACCATTAACTTTTGTACCTTCCATGACAAATAGCACGCATTTAAATCAATTCACTCTAATTTCAGTTTGTTTCTGTATTGTTTTTTAAGTGCCTTGTTTCTGAGAGGCGTTCTGTCAGACATAATTCAGTGACCACATAAAAACATAGTTTGAGACTTGCACACAAAGGATATGGTAAGATGCTGCTTTTTCTTTGCCATCTGGGTGTCGGGAACTCCTTGTATTGCTGTTACATTAAGGGCTTAAATCAAAACGCTTGTGAACTGAAATAAGATACCATTGTAATAACCTCTTTGCTGTTAGAACGCTTGTGGCTGCGACGTGGCCTCGGTACGGAGGGTCCCGACGTGGCCCCGGGTTCGCATAAATCCCGGTAGCGCTTTTAAAGATGCACTGGGATTTCAGTATACCTTCTCCCAGGTTTGTCTTCCTTTTTTGACAAAAATCTCGGCGAGGATTCTTTCTCCCCTGACATGTTAATTTTTTTTGGAACTTTTACGCCAAATTGCATTGGCCTCTTCCCTCCTCTCCCCTTGATGGAGGGTGAGAGGCACGTCCAGAACTCAACTGAAGAATGGCTGGTTCGGCTAGAAAATGCATATGGTTCTGAATCACCTTTTCTGACAAGTTCTCTCTTCAGTATGAAAAAGAGTTCAAGTTCAAAGTCATGATTAAAAACCCTACTTTGACCATGTTCAAGTGTTGGTGGGGTGTTTTATTGTTTGTTTGTTTGCTTTTTGTGTTTTAATACCCCGTAGGTACACCCCCTAATCTAAAGCCTTTGTGGTATCACCCCCCCATCTTGTGTCCTGGCTTTATTTACTTGGGATTAGGAAGTACTAATACTTGAGGAATCCTGTAAATTAATAAACCTTAGTTCTACAACAAAACTTGCTTACATTTCTGTGCTGTGGGTGTAGAAGAAATCATCATGTTTTGCTGAATTAGTTTTTTTTTTTTTTAAATAAAACCAGGTGTTTTTTTCTGTTATCTTCTTAAGGGTAACACAAAATCCGTTATTCGACTTATGCTCAGATTTCTGTGTGGTCTTTAAAAACGTTTATGAATAGAAACCTTTCTTATTTGCATCTTTGATGTAAGAGAACATCAAGCTAGTAATTTTCCAGTTGCCTTTTTCTGGTATGTTTATAATTGTCAGAATAACTAAAGACCGTGAGTTTTGGAAAACAGGGTTATTCACGGCGTTTTTTTCTCCAATTCCAAGCTGTGCTTAGGTCCCACCGATTTCCTCTTGGCTTTGGTGGTCGTTTTAGGTGCAGATCTTAATTCTGAAAGCAGTTAATCGTCTGTCACCTCAAAGACCAGATTTGACCCTGCTGCTCCTCGCTGAGTTTCTCTGGGCGGGTGCAGGTCAGGCACCCCAACAGAAGCGGACACGGGGGCACGGTGGGGCGAAGCCAGAACGTCAGCCTTCTGCCCCATCCCGAACGGGGCTCAGGCTGCTGCTTCGCCAACTGCCCACCCCATGGAATCCTTGGATTGAAATGCAGCTTTTCAATTCCAAAGTTCTCCGAGAGGCGTTCTAAGGCTGCAGTACGGAAACCTGAGGCCGAGCGGAACGTACGAGTGCTACAACCGCGC